TCAAGTCGTCTTTGAGCACGAGCACGCACTTGGAGCCTTTGAACGAGTCACCCAAATAGAGGAAATCAATGCGGATGCCTTCGTTGGGACGCACACCAGAGCTGGCTGTGTGGGCGTTGAGTTACTCGCCCACCCTTCACGTGAGGGCAAAGGAAACACTTATCCAGAAAGGCCGTCAGCTTTACGTCAAGTTGATCAAGCCAAAAAAGCTGCTTTAGGTACATCTTCATCGCTAACTTGCTACGGTGGCTCATCGGTCCGCAATGCGCGCGCAACAATGAAGAGCCGCCGTTCCAAAGCCGAGGTCCACATGACATCCTTGCCGGCCGATTTGACGGTCCAAAGGTCCATCGTCGCGTCGAACGTCGCAAAGTTCGGCACGGCGTCTTGACTCTGTGCAACCTTGATGTAGAACAAGCTCGGCCACTCGAAGCCCGCTTCGTCCAGAGGCCGCAGCGGCTCGCTCTTGGGCAACGTTTTCTTTCCCTTCTTCTTCAGTTTGGTCAGACGATGCAAACGGGCCCGCTCGCGCTCGTCTTCTTCTTTCTTGGCTGCACCTTCCGGCCGCTTCCGCTGCACGGCCTTGTCTTTTGCGTGGCCCCATTGCGACATTATGTCTGCCCAGATGCTGTGCTCGCCATCGATATGCTCGATCGTGTAGCGGTAAGGCGCAATGTAGATGGCCCATTGCGCAAGCTTGCAACTCTGTCAGGGCTTTCATTCTTGACCGGGTGCAACGACGTTGATGAGGCTCTTGTGGTCGGTGTAGATGCGGAATCCACGCGGCCGCATGAGAAGTTACTCAAAGTCGAGACACGCCTTGACAATCGGGTACGATTCTTGCTCGATCACGCTCCATGAGCACCCTTCCACACACCCGAGATACACGCGACCAATTCGTGCTGCAACGCCCGCACAGGCACGCTACCGCTGAACTACTTTATTTGTGTGTTGATGATCGAGAAGCCGTCGCCCGAGGCGTCGAGAAACACGAGGAGCTCAGCATCCTGATCAAGATGTGGCAGCTGGGCTGCATTGGCCAAAGCTTCTTTGACCGCGTCCCATGCCGCCTTCTCTTCTGTCGAGAGCTCCCCTGCAACAGCCGTAGCTACGCGCTTCTTGCGCGTTGGCTCGCGCGCGAGAACGACGTCCAACCGCTGCTGAAGCGGCATCGCCGTAAGCGCAAAACCCGGAACAGAATCGCTCATCCAGTTGGTCGCGCAGACAAACTGTTGAAGCTGCCCCCGTTTCTTGGGTAAGGCAGCGCGAACAGCGACGCAATACGCCCCGGATCGTGACGAACGCCTTGGTCGCCGATCAATCGACCGCACCACTTGATCTCCGTCTTATATAGAGCGTACACTGGTTGGGGTTGAGCTTGAGGTTGTACTTCTGGCACATCGCAAAGAAGCGATCGAGGGCGTCGAAAATGTCGTCGATGGTCTTGGCAAATACTGTTAAAATGTCGTCAATCCAGATGGGGAGACACACGTAAAGGAGATGTTCTGGAAATACAGCGCCGAGTGCACGTCTCCTTACATGAAGCGGGAAGGCGTGGATACCGTGGTGTCCAGGAAAAACGAGAGAACCTGACGACATCGCTCCGCTAGTGGCATCTTCCAGAAGCCTTTGAGCAAAAAGGTTGCCAAAGAACTGCGCGTCCTTGAGCATGTCGATGAATACGGACAACGCCACAAATGCCGCCAAAGGCACAGTCATTGCGTTGACGCGCCGGTAGTCGATCGTAAGCCGAAAATAACGCGAAAGGTCTTTATCGGACCATTCATTAGGGGCTTGCGGATCGCTTCAACACTGAGTTGCTCGGGCTGCATACCGCCGATCGGTTACTCTTCTCGATCACGCCGTCCAGCAAAAGTTGGCGATCGAACAAATGCACAAAGCGCTCCTGGTACGGGTTGAGCTTGCGACCCGCACAGCTAGCTGTACGGGCTCGCATCCGTCTTGAGCTTGATGTCCATCTGCTCGATATCGGATGGTGGATCTTTGCCGCGGAAGACTGCCCGCCAAATTTCGTAGCTCTTCACGATCTTCTCGAGCCGTTCATAGCGCTTCGTGGGGAAGCCTTCCAAGATTGAGCAAGCCAGCATGCTCTTGAATGCTGCAGCATCTTCTCGATCGAGACGGTTCATGTCGAGCGTGTCGTGCACCCGCATTCGTAAGCTCCGCAGCGAGGTGTTTAAGATCGTCGGACAGGACCGGCAGCCGTATGGAGCTGCAGACGCAACTGGACCTTTTGTTCAACTGCAGCGTCGTCTTGTCCACAGCCAAGTTGATGACTTAAAGTCGGGCATCTTCTGCTTCAGCTGCTCAACCGCTTGGCGGGAATGATGTTCGGGCCGCAGCCGCTGTCCGGCACACACTGCGCGCCAACCATACTGTTGAGCGTTAAGGCCACATGGCCGTCGCTGCCGCAGGATCTGGCCGTAACGTTACTTAACAAAGTATACACTTTGGTTCGCGCCAAGAAAGTGATGAAATTAACGTAAAGAGTGGACCATTTTGCCCCATGAAAGTAATCTTTGTGAAAGGAAATGCAGTGATTTTTTCAAAATGACTGACCAATAGAACGCAAGCTAGTCTACTCTGATAGATCGACTGGATCTCGAGCTAGGAGGCGCAGATGCAGTTGTCCTGCAAAACCTCGAGTCCGTCGCGTGGCTCCTCAGCGGTCCTGCACCGTGGATCCTGGCCGTACTCTCTAAACGCTGCGGCGATTCCTTTGTTGGCTGCTTTGAGTCGATCTTGCGTGTTGCTGTGTCGGATTAATCAAGGACGCTTTTGCGCGAGCTCGATGTCTGTGTTCCCAAGGCTTGGATGCAAGTAAAAGAAGACGGCGCACGCCTTGTCAGACCACGGATACATACGACGTCGCTCGGCCGTGCGTCGAGAAGCCACCACGGAAGAAACGTCTTCGCCCACCCACGGCGGATTAATGGCGCGAAGCTGCTTCATGACGTCACGGTGTCGTGCCACGTGTAGGAGGATGTCAGGCTCTGATCATGTCGTAACGGCCTCAATCGTGTGCGGCGTGCGTTCGGGAAACAAAGAGGCACGCTTAATATTCAGCCCGTCCCTGGGGTCGCGAGTTTCTCGCTGGCGCGCTTCTTGAGCACGCATCCACTTCGCGTTCTCTGGCTATTGCGGAATAAACTTCTTCATCGGGCAAATCGAGGAATGGGCGACGCCAGCGTCGAGTATTTGGAGAGTGTTTTTTCTGATAATAGACGCGAAGCGGCAATGATATTTATGTTAAGAAAAAACCATTTTTTCGTCAAGAAGTCTTTTTACTGTGCTTATATTTTGTAAAGTACGGAGTACGGAGGAGACTCAACTTGACCTTCCTTAGCTAGTTGTGATCGCTAAAGTCAGCCTTGTGGACTTTTCCGCTTGACAAACAACGCCAGACAAATGGAGGCTGTACGTACTCCCAATCACCTGCGTGTGCACTTAAGTCGACTCCCTATATGTGCATACTACTGAAACTCGATAAAGCTCGTCCCGTTGTCCTGTTATATATCACCCTAATATTCTTAAAAAATGGTATGGGTCTCGAGTCGCCAATTGATTCGCAGCCGACGGAAGTGCATACCTCGGCGACGTCAGTGCATAGCTGAGCTTATAGCTCATTATGCAATATGCGCCACAGGAAGACGGTGGCCGCCAAGTTAAACGCGACGCTGGCAGCTTAATATCGAGCACAAGACTATGATCCTCGACTTCTACCACGCCAACAGCTGCAACCAGTCGCCCACTGCGCGACTATGTCGACGAGGAAGATGACAAAGATGAGGAAGAGTAGAACCTACTGTGTGACCAATTTATGGATATTGCATTATACCTTTGCATAATTGATAAACCACCCCAATTCATAAGCACCACAGTATGCACTTGGAGAGTGTCGACTCTATGAGGCAAAAATAAAACACAAGCTAGCTGTTGGATCCATGGCAACAGCTTCTATATCCCTCTTTCTACTTTATCTATCCTACGTTTCTAAACACTGCGCCCAAAATTTTCGTGCCGTGCATCTGTGTGCAGATATTGCAGTCTATGACTTGTGGCACCCGTCCGAAAATTAGCAACAAAAGCCTCCACTACGCAGAGCATCACGCCACTCAACGGCCGCTCCGCATTTTCGAATGGAACCAGCACCATTTAGTTTTCTCGACTATTTGAAGGCGATTCGGGTTAACCGCGTAGAGGCATTTTCGAAGCAGCGATACTTGGCAATGCTTTCGGCGGTGTTTTCTAGCCGCTGTGCGATGCATCGGTATTCGGTCCCTTCAGCTGCTATGTTTAAGAACTATTCCTACAGTAGGGAAGAACCTTCTCCGCACATCATTTTTTTGCTTAGTGACCCTACATGGATTATACACAACGCACGTGTGTTAATATAAATGTAGTCGTGTATCGTCTATCTGCTAGCTCCAGTACTTACAATCCAACGCTAGGTGTCAAGTCTAAGAGCATCTCCACCGGTTTCCCGTATCCCAAACTGACTCTGGGTTTTTTACCGGCCGATTTCGCCCCGTTTTTCGCCATGCAAAGCAAAAAAAGACAAAATGCCCCACCGCTCGGCCTGTAAAAAGATGCAGGAAGTCGCGATTTGTATGGAGTCGATTTCTTCGAACTTCGTCTTAAAATTCGATTTTGTATCCCTTTTTCACTAGTATACAAAACATGAGTCACTTGCGATTTTACCTGGTCAAAGCCAGGGTGCCAGGGCGCTCTGTACAGGAACCAGGATAAATTTGCTCCACCCTGTAAAATTTTTACAGGGCCAGGGATAAATAGCGCGGAAGGGTGGAGAAGCTTAAACAACAACTCTTTCAATTCTCAATGGTGCTGCGGCCTGCATGTAATATAGGTCGCAACGTCATTGACTAATGACAATCAAATAACAGTAACAGTTGAACCACTTACCGACAACGGCTGCGCTTGATTAAGCTCTGCCCAGAGTTCCAGAGTTACTCAGTTCCCACTGCTTCTCAAGATACTGCTTGACGACAGATTTTTTTGACAGAGACATTTTTGATTTATACGAAATACGAAAATTCAGGTGCATATATGCTAGCTAAAAGACTATACAGGTTTTGCCACACAAATCAGTTTGTGCTATCACGTTATACAAAATTCAGGTCCATATTTGCTAGCTAGAAGACTATACAGGTTTGGCTACGCACATCAGTTTGTGCTTTTTACATGGAAGACAAAATGAAGAAAGCACTAAAATTTACTCGAATGAAGTAAACAACATAAAGTGCTATTAAGTCCACTAATTTTGACTGCATCGTTACAAGGTAGCCTACTATTTCACTAGCATCTAATACGTACAGGTTCCCGCACCGATGGCGTTCGTGATAAATTGAGCGAACCCTTAGATTCACGCTGTCGACAGCTCTAGAGGGGAACTTAAAGAGCGCTGCGGCTATTGCTCCGTGCGCCTGTCTATGGTCAGTCGACAATTCTGTCTTTGTCTGAAGTCACTGCTTCGCTGCAAACTTGGCTGCATTGCGTAGAATCCAAATTCTTAATTTAAAACAGAACTACGCGGGGGCAGCAACCATGTTTGTGTTCGCCGTGCCAGTGGTTGGCGAAACTAATTGACTGACACTACAAATTCGGGATTGGCTTGAGCTTGCTCGCTCTGCGCCTGGAACATGGATCTTGTATTTGCTCTTAGATCTTGATTCTCCAGATCGCACGGCTTTGCGCGGAAAGCCTCTTCCACTTGTTGGGAATGGCCCTGCTACAATGGACAGTACAAGCATGCCTGCGAGATATTGCACGAGCATAACAGTGCCTATGCCACATTTTGCTTGCTGTCGCTGCCCGATGGAACCGGCATCGTTGACTGACCAGCTTCCAATCGCACCGAACAACGCTTTTGTCCCCACGCAACTCATCTACGCTCAACGACGCGGTAGGGGTGCCCTCTCCACTACAGACCGTATTGCCAGCACTGCGGACAGCCCAATGATGTCCTCTTGCTCGGAGCCGATCGATTGCTCGACCCCGACAAGCCGCTTGTGTGGTTCAAGGGATATAACGACGACTACGCTGCTCTCTCTCCATACATTTTTCCACTCGCACAGCTTGAATGTGATATTCGTCGGAGGCGCAGCGACAAGAGCTAGGCTACAATTAAGGCATTTGTGGACTACAGTACTCTCTGGTCATCAAGTTCCAAACGCAAAGGGTTCCTACCTCACACGCATGTTTTGCTCATGCAAGCAGCCAACGAAGGCTGCAGCAACGAGTACATCTGCCTTGCTAAAGACATCGTCATTTATAGTGGGATTCAAGCTGGCCACCAAACCTTTATTATTGATGGAAAAACAATTCGCTGATTTTTGTCCAATCAGAAGTGCGGAAAAAAGGGCGGCACCAAAAACATTTCCATAAAAAAAATCCGCTTGAACCACAGAACACAGTGTGTTTTTAGTTGCAAATGCTGACGAGCCAAGCTTGACGGCGATCTTTTCCACCCTTGTTCCTTCAAGTCGTTACGTACAGGTCGGACGCGGCGTTGTCGTTTCGAATGCGCGAGTCGTCGGGAAGCTCAACTTCGACTTAATTGTCTGGAACAGCGTCAGTACAGCACAAGTTGTGCAGCACAATGCACACTTCCATGTGCCGAATGATCTTCACCATGCTTTCCTTCCTGCAAGGCGATAGTGCACGCTCGTGGGGCTATGGAAGCCCCAACAGCCGACGAGCCTGCTTCCTGCTTCATCCCGTGCTTTGGCGTCTAGCGCACAACGGCTAGCGTTCGCATGCCGGGTCTACGCTTTACCACCATTAGCCGCGCGCCCAGCCAAGGCAAACGTCTTTGTTTCGAACTCTTCGACGAAGCGCGTCAAGAGCCAGGACGGCATGGCCACGCTCTTGAGCTTGACAAGCGATCCTTTTGCCATTGATAGAGGTCGCTTAGTCGCCAAGGAAAGAAAGACGCCTCGACCTGAAAACTGAGCGCGTAGCCATGAAGAAAGCACGTTTAGCGATGAAAACGACTCTCGGGGATGCCAAGCTCGTACACGCAAAGTTTGCGGCCATTGAGAAGATGGCCCAAGCTGGGGAGGACTTGGAGATTTAATTGCTAATAAAATGGCATGCGGCTCCCGTACCCGTTTGACCCGTTTTTCCATCGATCACCCTTTTTGCTGATGGAGCATTTGGCCCCCCGAGTGATAAAAGTTGCCAGTTCGGGCAAACTTCGTAGTTTTGACGCTAGATGGAGCTTATGAATTTTGTTGGAGTTTCAGCCAATGAGATCGCTGGATTGGACCCGTTCGTCATTCCATCAAGGTTTGATGGCCATCTTGAATCTCACGAATGCAGGTCGAAGTTTCGAAAGCCCAAAACACTCCCCCATGTGCAGCCCACAGCTCGGATGATAATTTTCGGGAGTTTGTCGCGCATGCTTGACTTTCGAGGGAAATCATGATCTTCTTTGAGCTCGCTGGCGCGTCGCTCGTCCGCTGGACGTTGCTACTTGGTCGCATCCTGGAGCAGGTCGATGTTGAGGCCATCCGTGACGAGAAAAAGCGCATCTTCGAGTTAATTGGACTTGTCGACGGGATGTCGGCGCCTTGCAAAGGGTTGGGTCCTTGGGGGCAGATGTCAGTGAGTATCGCGCGGGAGGCCTTGTTAGAAAGCCAGTCGAGCACTTCTGTCGTGTCGCGGCTGTAAGTTTCCTTGAGAATGCCATGGCTGGTTGAGCTCGTTGCTGGAAGCTGGATACGAGCACCTTGATGTTTGTCGTCGAGCGTAACGTTGCACAGCTCGAGTAGAGCGCCGAGAGACCGACGGAGCTGATGTCCGTGTCGTACGCAGATAGCCGTTCGCGCAGGCCATCAGTAAGGTCAACCTCACAGACGTCCTTGGGTTGTGGAAGCACGTCGTAGTAGTTAAGGTCAACGGCCAGAGCTTGGTTCCGCGCCGGCCGTACCCCGCCCGTCGATGGCCAAGCAACGTCGTCCGTGGTCGGTGTGTCCGGAAGCCGCGGCTCGTCGTGTAGCGGCCCTTGAGCTCCTGGGTATGGCGCACTCGACGTCATCTCAGAGGACACTTGATATATCGCGGTGATGGAAGACCGCGACGCGGTTGCGAGCTTCTCCGCGATGCTACCTTGGACCTTCCAATGCATTGGCACGCTGATGTCGAGTGGCTCAGTTGCACTTGATTACGGCGATGGTGCCGCTGGCATGAGCCTGGATTGGCGACATGGTGTCGCAGTCGTCGTGTTGGACTTGGACCTTGTTCATCGCAGTGCTGCGCTCGACTTCGTCCTTGTTGACTGGTTTGCGGCTTGTGCGCGAGTTGACGTCGCCGTTCGAGTTTTGCGCTGGTGCCGACGCGGTGTGGATCGCAGCAATGTCCGACGTCACATGGTCAGTTGTCACGGGAAGGTGTGTCACCAAAGGCATGAGAGCCGCTTCGTTGACGCTGGACAAGTCGTTGCTCTGGGGCTGGCAGCTTGTCACTGCAGGCGACTCGGCTGCCGTCGCTTCGGTCAAGTTACTGGTAATTGGCATCTTCGTCGCCGCACAAGTAGAGGTGAGGCTTGACTTGGCGCGTTGTTGCTGCGGATGCAAAGTCGCCTGCGGCTGGACTTGGACGTCACTGGGCGCCGCTTCATGAGGAGGGCTCATTGCAGTTGCTGTTGCTTCGTCATTGTCGTCTTCGGTCGACCGACTGAACTTCAGCATCGCGTTTGTCACAGGAGTTGACGCTGGGCTTGGGCACGGTACTTGTCTGTGCTGGAATGGACTCGGATACTCGGGCATGCGTTGAGAGTGACGATCAAGACTTGGCATGCGGCCGCCTTGAAACGAAAACATGGGTTTCGTTGTCGTCGGTTTGGCGCCCGGGGCGAAGAGCTTGGTCATGGTCTTCTCGTAATCGACCACCTGCACTCCCGCAATGGAGGTGACGCTATACGCAGGTCCGAACGACACCGTCCGAGGATCGGGTGCCGAGGGCCCAAAAGACGGCGCATGTTGGCTGCCGGAAGCGGGCGCTCGAGAAAGTCGCCCGTGTTGGTTGTAATATCCAGACGCTGGCTCGACTGGCGTTGCTGGAAACGCCGACGTGGAGGAGCCAAGAGATGGAGCGTGCCGGTAGCTAAACCTGGGCGCCTGCAAAGACTGCCTATGCTGATTGACGATCTCTTCTTGCGCGTTCGGTAGCGCGGCGAGGGTCGAAGCTCTCGATCTGCCGTACTAGTCGAAGAGATGTCGGCCGTGGGGTACCCGTTCCTTGCCTTCGGTCGTCGGAGATGAATTCTTCCTGGCATGGCCGCACCCGCTTGGCTGTTGAGCGATACCATCGCCATGTTAGTCTGGATCTCGAAGCCGTATGCAGCGAGCATGGCTTCCAGGCGGCCGTCTTGGATGAGGCGCTTGATCAGGGCAGTCGTCCATGCTCTGATGCTCGTCCTCGACAGGCATTGAGAAATAGTATTCTTGTTCTCGCCTTGGGATTGGTGTGGTGACCCTATTAACAGTTCAGACTTTGTTTCAAGAAAAGAGTGGTCCCAGGCCCACTAGGCTTACTCTAGTGAATGTGAGCGTGAGCGCGTGCGAGGTGTACCTCTGTCGCTCCTTGCCGATGCGAACCGCACGCCTTGGATACGACCGGTAGGCACTTGTAGTGGAACCGATGCGCCTGTCTCCGCGTTTAGATACGGTGGCCACTCTCCGACCAGGAGGTTTTACTTGAACAATGAATGACTAAGTCATGTTCGTACGGCAAGTCAATGACACCGTTGGATGGACCGTGTGCGATGGCAACTATAGTGGTACGATCGTGCCATAAATCAAGCCTAGTAACCACAACAGTACATACACTGTAGCTACGTATTGTCCCGTTGGCGACGTTTTTGTTGTTGTTGAAGTGGGTCGTCTGTTAAAATAGATATGTAAATCCACGCCAAATATAATTGTCGGACTTTCTTCGTTGTGTAGGCGCGGGTATTGAACTTGATCTAGGCTGCCGGAGGCAGGAGCGCGGTCCGCAGGACAAGGTGCTGGCGCGGCCACTCGTGATGAGCGAGGAGCCGGAGAAGGCGACGTAGATTCATCTGCCCGGGCTTTTGAACGAGGCTGTAGTGCAAGTGTATTTGAGCGACACCCGCCGCCATGGCGGCAATCGTCAATGGCTTGGCAGTGGTAGGTCGGCGCGAAAGACGTGATCGTTTCGGACGCGTCAGACGGTGAACCAGACGCAGGTGCGGAGCGCTGGGCAGCGGTAGTGGAATGCGGCTCGGTGCATGTTGGAGGCCATCTTCGGCGTCAAGTAGAGGTAGCCCGAGAGTGTTGCCGGCATTCCGTTGGTGATGTCGTGGGTTACTGTGGCGCTCTCGTTGCAAATATGTTGGCCTGGTGAATCGCTTGGTCCTCATCTTTGTCATGGTGCTGTGGTCGCTATTTACATGTTTACCTCCGGGTACGAGAAAGGACCGAGCAAAACGACTGGAAACCACATGAGCCAATGGCTGGTCGTCAATTTAGTACCTCCAGTGCCGCTGCACGCGTACTGGCGACTGACTACACAAGGAGCTTCTCGGTCTTTAAGAGGTCGCCGACGCCATCAAGGAAGGCGTGTCTGCGTTCTTGGAATAGCCACCCGAGACCATCGCCTCGGGAAAGCGTGAACCGACCGGAAAAGGTGCACCAAGACCTTCCTCCAAGATTGCCATCGATGGTACATGAGCATTGACCGCCGCTGCAAGCTGCAGGTGAAGGTCATCTGGCAAGTGGCAGAGTGCCATCACTGCCAGGGCGAGTTGTCCGAGGCAGAGATCGCAGTGCCACGCGAAGCATACACGAAGTCACAACAGAGCGCCCACCAGAAAGCCAAGGACGTGAACTTTGAACTTCACCGCACGCAACCGATGCCTGACACGTCACTTTCTTCGAGCCCGGGGTTCTGGCTCAAATCGTACCACGGTCCAAGAGATGCGACGTGCGGATAGCAACGTAGTGACGGTGATGGAGGATATTCACCATGTCTTCAACCACAAGTAGTCAACAATGATGCGTTCCGACGATTTCCAGAACCCCGGTGTTGCACTACGCGACTCGTTTCTCGATCAAGTGAAAAGAGTGTCGCGCAAGAAGACCGAGAGCTCTTGGATCTGCCTGTAAGTGTCAAGGACATTAACGTCGTCAGTTCGGACAATGGTACCAGACAAGGCGCCGGAATTGGACGGTTTCCCGGCCTCTTTTTACAAACTGGATTCCTCGACCTTTGCTTCCATAGTTTACATCGTCTTCAAGCATCAACGAAAGCGCCGTGAGCTCCTCAAGCCTCAGCGCACGTCGGCAGTCGCGCTGCTACCCAAGGGTGGCGACGCCTCGGACTAGTCATTATCTCGGCGGCTTGCTTCCAAAGCTCATCCACGAGAACCAACGAGGCTTTCCTCTGCCCGCAACATTCATGATCACGTGGTCTACCGGTGTCTGCAAGAGCGGAAACACCACCGCCCAATACAAGAATGTCGATGGATTTGGCACGACCTCAAATAAGACCGAGCTACTTGGGGGCAACAACCGTATAGATGTCCGCCATGCCAGTTGTGGGCGAGTTGGTTCCCTGGAGACGACGCCACGCGGTTGGAATCATCCGAGTTGTGGTGAGGTCGGTGAGAGGTAACTCGTTGATGGTGGTGTGTTTCGTGAGTACGTCCGATGACTTCTTGCCGAGTTTCGGGACGGCGAGGTCTGGCACGCTGCCACGAAAACAGGCCGTAGCACCGCCGTTTCGGAGCTAGTGTGTCGCGAAGTTGCTCGAGGTTTTTGGCACACCGCTGCTACAATCTTTATCGCGCGACGCTGCTTTGCATTGTAGCGTCTCAGTTGCCGAAAACGTCGCGTAGCGTGGTACTGAGCGAGTTGTTGTTGTCTTGAGCATGATGAGAGAGGTTCCGCGTTGTCGTCACGGAGCATAGTCGAGGTGTGGGTGATGGCTCGATCTGTAGATGCACGTCTCGACATGTGCGATCGATCTTGGGGCCTTGGATGCGTACGTGGGATCCCTTGCCTTGATGTCTTCTTGGTGCTTGAGAGTTTGATTCTTGTCGTTAAGTGACTCCGCGTCATCGATTTTGAATGCACATGACTCGGGAGCTTGGGATGATGAGGGTCGAGGCGTACAGGGCTGCGTCGAGCTTGGGGAAGGTTGTCCATTCGCGCCAGACGTGTGTGTAAGTTGACCGCTGCTCGTATCTTGACCAAGATGACAGCCAAGGCTGCTGCGCGTTTTTGTCGAGTGCTCGGTACATCCAGCACAGATGTGCTGTATTCGGTATGTCTGCCCACGAAGCCGTGTGGGTCTTTCGTGTTTACGTATGTTGTGGCGACGGCTGTGTCTAGGAGCGAGTTGCTACGTCCTGGAATGTGACGTATCGAGACCCGGAGCCAGTGCACTGCTTGTGCCGCCGAAGTGACGCGATGTTGACACCATACACCACTGGACAATGCCACAGAGAACGTCAAGTTGCCACACGAGTGCAGTGGTGTTGATGGCCAGCACCTCGATGATGACGGTTGGGGTGCTGAAGGGTTCCAAAATTCTTTTCCCCACTCTCACGCCGTGAGATCAACGCCCAAGCGTTCGCGGGCGTTCATGGAGGTGTCGACATCAGCTTTGCATCGTCGTTGCCTTGCTAGGCTCCTCTTCCACGTCAGCAAGTCGAATGAACCGTGCCAATGGTCCATGATGGCGATGCCGACGGCGGCGGCGTCCATCTTTAGCGTGTAGATGACCGGGAGGAGTTGCCAAAGGCGTACGTTGGGACTTGCTCGATGCGCGCCACCGAAAAGGTCGCGCCCAGTACGTGAGGTCAGCTCGGGCCGGGAACGGAAGCCTGCGCGAGGCCAAAATAAGCGAGCGCCCAGTAGAAAACTGTGTTGTGCTTGGTGAGCGGCCGTGCGCGAGCAAAGTTTCTCGCTCCACAAAACGCGGGGCGGTTCGGCTGTGAGCGTGAACATGCATGGACGCGCGCCAATTTTTCGGTGAGCATAGAGACGACACCAAACTCGAGGTTCCGAACGAGGTCGCTGGCCCAGAAAACGTGACGGATCATGGATGGGTCGCCTTCTCGTTGACGATGTTTTGGTTCCAGTGTTACGAGCATGTCAACGTTTGACGCGAGCTCGATGAGGATATATTCGTCGATGCATACTTGTAGTTGAAGCACCCAAAGTGGAGTGTGAGCCGAGTTGTGCTGAAAATGATGCTGCTCGGAGATACGCCTTGGACGAGCCGCATGATCGCGTTGCCGACTACGCGGAATACGTCGATGAAGCTGCAGTAGCCGGTGGAAGCCAGAAGACTGATGCCGATACGTGTAGCGCCAACCCAAAAGTGGTTGCTGTCAGTTGCACAACCCCGCAGGTGTCGAGAAAAACTGCAGCAGTGTCGCCCGATGTGCCCATCACGTCCGCGCTCGTTGGAGCTGCCGCATGTGACTAGGTTATGTACCTCTGCCCGTGACCGAGTGATGCCCGCTGCTACGTCGGCCAAGCGTAGCCACGAGAGCAGTGGTAAGACGTCCTTGCGGAAGTGTGAATGTTTGAACGACTCGCCGCTCGAAAAAGACAAGACGTGGATGAGAGACGTTCGCCGACCGAGAGAGGTTGGAGGCACATCTTCTCGAGGCCGAGTGGGCAGCAGCTACCGCATCGATCCTTCTCTGAAAAATCATCGGTGCAGATTGTCGTGGTGCCGGCAGGTAGAGCCAGGGGTCCGCGGCTCGCCGCGGGTGAACCATGACGAGCGAGCTGAGCTCGTAGGGGAGCGTCGTTTGCTGGGGCGGTGTTCTACCAGCGATACTCGCGCACCAGTTCGATGGTCAACGATGGCGATGCCAACGTTGGTGTCGTCCGTTTAAAGCGTGTAGATGACCGGGAGGAGTTGTTGAAGACGTACGTTGGGAAGTGCTTGGAGTGCGCCACCAAAAAGGTCGCGTCCAGTACATTGAGGCAGCTCGGGCCGGGAACTAGAGCCTGCACGAGCCCAGAATAAGCAAACGTCCAGTAGAGTCTGTGTTAGTACTTGGTGTAGTAGGCCACGTGCAGCGTTCGCGCGCAAGCAAACATGGCGCAGCGAGTACAGTACGCGCTCCAAATTGCGGATTGGATCGGCCATGGGCGCGAACTACCCACATGCATGCTTGGACGCGAGCCAATTTCTCGGTGGCCGTATACTGACTACTCCAAACTCGAAGTTCCGAGAGAGACCGCTTGCACAAAAAGTACTTGACGGATTATGGATGGGTCGCCTTCTCGCTGAGCGTAAGAGGTAGACGCGTCCCATGGTTGGCTCAGTCGAGCCATGTAGCGAGCGCTGCCGGATGTCACCGTTGTCAAGCTGCAGATAGCACGTAGTCGACCACCTTTTGTCCAATCGGTGAATTCGTGCTTCACGTGCAGGAGGTTCGGTGCTCGAGCGCCGTAGGTGTTGTCTTTTCTTCTCTTTCCCATTGGCGTTGGCATTAGGACCATCAAGTCGGCTCTCGACAACCGTGCTTGACAATATATCATCGTACCACTGAAGATGCACACAGACCAGGAAGCATTCGACTCGACCGCGTCCGAAGACGCCTCGACAGTCCGAGTGGCAAGTAGCTCGGCCGCGCCCGAGGACGCGCATATGCCCAATTGCGGTTGATTCGAGCACAGAGCTGTTGGTTCTGGCACCGTTGACGAACCGAGCGGGTGTAGCTGCGTGATTTCTTCAAGGTGGGACGCACGATTACCCATCTTGGATGCTTTACAGCCTCAAGTCCGCACCCAGAGCACCCCAACACGCCTTCGGGCGACGTTAGTGAGATACATCGTAACTGTGTGGATGTGCGGCCGCTCGTCAACACCCGTGCGCCAATTGTACCTAACAGAGATCAGGCTCTCGAGCTTCGATGTGTTGCGCGGAACGTCTGGCGGAATTGGCGGGCGTGCTTGGTCTGCGCGGCTTAGACCGCTTGGCCAACGTAGTGCCACCGCCTTGTGGCTTGCCGCGCTGGGTGTGAGCTGGGTCGCGGATCTGTGCCCGGGAAGCTTGTGACGTCTGCGACGACGCCAGCGATGCCGCAGGATGCTATCGCGAGGTGGAAAAGAAAACGAAAACCGTGAACGGCTGTTGCTCTACGGCACTGATGACGTCGCGTTGTTGGATAAAATTGTCGGCGTCGTCGAGCAGATCAATGACCAAGGCAAGCGCACCCTCGTCGTACTACACTGAGATCGCGTAGCCGAACGTGCATATGTGGACAAACAATGAGCGAAGTTGGAGCGCCAGTCGAATAAAAAACAAAGGTGCAGAGATGGGAAGGGAAAACGGACCGTATCGCACCCACGCCCGCCAGGGACGCAAATGGTAGGGGCGCTAGATATTGCGTGTTGGTAGACCGCCAGTGCTTGGTATAGACACGTGAAAGCCTGAGCGCGCTATAGATTCGTGGATGGCTCGAGCTCACTTGCTCTGCGCCAGGATCTTGGTTCTTGGATCTTGTGTTTGCTTTTGGATCCTGGTCTTCTAGATCACTCGGACTTGCGCGGAAAACCTCCTCCACTTCTTGGAAACGGCCCTTTGGCCCTGAACCAAAACCGGCCTCCGCAAACATGGCCCGCATTCGATCTCACGGTCTTAGTGACGGGTGTACCAGTGCAGTATCTAGGCATACAGTTTGGTCACAATGCCGCAATCATACCACGATTACCAAATGTAGTCCGGAAGGTCCAGTCGAGTCTCCTCAAATGGGGACGTTAGGGTCGCACCTTCATTGGCCGGACTGTGGTGACACCTCTATCTTTGACGAATGTCAACAAGATCCAGTGTATTGTTCGGGTCTGCATCTTGAGTTCCAAGTTCAAACCCAACGAAAAGTATCACAGCCCACTCGAATTGGGGCTACAATATGACAAAAGGCGAGAAGCCAGCATTCCTCACGCACAAACTCAACGCGTACGTTGGTTTCAACGGGCGCTGGATGCTGGTACACCACTGAACGTTCCTGCTAGGATACTGCAACATGCTGAAATCTGGTTGGCCGCCATAGGAAGATTAGACGAAGAGAATATGGAAAGAAGTCCATTCATCGTCATATCACAAGACGTGGCGGGCTGTGCTGATCAACACGTGACGGCGCTGTGCTCATAGGCATCTCGGGTGGCCTTGGTTTGGTCCAGAACTTCTTGCAGCGATGTTGACACCGCTTTCCTTGGATGCGACGGCTGCAGCGTGTGCAAAATGGCCGCGCGCTGGTTGGTAACGACACTGTCCACCATCGGCATCGGCATGACACCATCAATGTCGTACTCGGGGCTCAGCTTGCTCTCGTGCATCGTCGGTAGGCTGTCCGTGAGCGCAAAGCATAGAAGCATGAGCTTTTGTTCGAGCAACTGCGCCGCTGGAAACGACGCACATGTAGCGAGCAACCACTGTTCGAAGTCGAGCGGCGACGTGAACACCATCGACACATCGCGCGGGCGCCGATCTGCAACAAACGCCTTGTGCACGTGGTCAACGACGCGGCGCACACAAAGCTCGCCATGGTGATGCAACTGCAAGAACGCCCCGACGCCAAAGCGCAGCACAGCCCGCAGCAGTGCCATATCATGGCGCCACGGGCACCACCATGCAGGCATCCCGTCAGTGAGCCAAGGAAGACCTACACGGCATTGTCATGATACTATTCTCTGCTCATTGCGAGCCGAGACACACCTGATCGAAGCAGTCGTTGGAGTTCGTCTTCTTGGTTGTGCAGGACGTACGAAACTGCCCGGTAGACTTGCGTTCGTCGCAAGAGCAAGCCTGCGAGCACCTTGGCTTTGGCTCCATGCAACGCGGAGACTTGAAACGGGTCCACAAACGTCACTTCGTTTTGCGATCGTGACACGCCAAGGTCTTTGCCCAGAAGCTCATGGCATTTGCCGAGCATGCGGTCATACGCATAGCGCTGAGTGCGCGCTGCGGACTTGTGAACGCGCGCCGCCTCGACGACTTGGAGCCAACTCCATTCCCCGTAGCTCGACAAAAGCAGCGGTGCACCACACAGGCTGAGAACATAGCTCACAGACTGACGCTCGTCGACGCTCCAGTCCTTGACGAAGCTTGTCTTGCTCTCGTCCGCTACGAGTGACCATACCTATACGACATTTGTGAGGAGTGCATATCGGTGAATAATAGAACACCTGTGCGTTTTGGAGCTGAACCGAATGGCGGAGCAAATCAAGGTGCACAAGTTGCCACGTGAGCGCATCTTGTCGCCGAAGGACTGCGACTTTTTGCGACTGCTCGAGCGTCGTCGTGCGCACAACCTCGGATGACGACTTGTCACGCTTCTCTTGCTGTTTTTGCCGCTGGACATCTTCAATGGAGAGAAGCCAAATGAGCAGCCGATTCATTTGCTGCACTTCTGGCTGCTGAAACTTGACTGGCGTCGGGTCATCGTCGCTCGCCGGCGACGGTTCAAACGCAGCCTCGCGCTGCTGGAACACGATACGGGGGTCGCCAAGAATTTGAGCGCAGCGCCCGTACCCGTGCAAGAAGACACCCGCGCACAGGTTCTTGTCGGCCGATGTGTCCCACCATGGCGTCAAGGCGGACCACTGCGGGCGATCCGGCACGTTCACCGTGCCAAGACCCTCGAGGAGTCGATCCAAGCCAACGAGGTCGACACGCGCGTCCAAGTCGAGAGGCAAAACGAGGTTGTCCCGCGCTGCAATTGCTTCACACGCGGCATTGATCTTGTGTTGGAGACGGCTGAGAATGTCGAGTCGAGACAGCACACGTCGAGCACCACCCTGCTTGAGCTTGGAGACAAAGTCGTCTTCTTGAAGGACAATCGGAATGTGCTCCGTTGCGCGCTCGGTCCACACCTCGCGGTCATCAATGGCTGTAAGGTACTCGGGCTTGACCGTTGACGCGGCGCGTATCGCGCTCTGGACAAACGTCGAGTCGCTCGCTTGCGTCGCGCCGCTGCAGCAAAGTCCACACACGAGCACAAACGCACGGGCAAACGCTTCGACTTCCTCGACGGATCGTGAGCCGCCACTCTGGCTGCGGACAATTTCCCATCGTCCAAAGCCAAAGTGCATAAGGGCGCGCTGGAGCCGATCCCGGCCGTTGACAGTCCACTCACGAGAGACCGCGAGCGCCTTCTCGTTGTCCTTTTTGATCTCGTCCTCGTCCTCATCGTCCGAGACCAAATCTTTTGTTGTGCCAAAGCGAGCGACACGAGTTCGCTTTCGCTGCGAGCTAAGCACGAGCGATGATGCTTCGTCGATGGCTTCGGGCTCAGCGAGACCAACGGCCTTCTTCCAAAAGTCCGGATCATCAATATCGACGTCGTCGGCAGTCGCCGCCTACGGTCATTGTTTGAGGCCATTCAAAAGCAACATCAGGATATCGGTACCGAAACGAAGCTGGCCTTCGAAAACGAGCCGCGGGCTTGTGCTTCGTACTGCACGATCTGAGAGCTGCGCTGGAGGAGCGTATCGATGTCAGCCGAACAAAACTGCTCCGAAGCGTCATCTTCGTCGCGAAACACATCGTAAGCACCGCGTTTTAAGAGCTCGTCGATCTCCTGCGCTTCTTGGGCCTACATCCGATACACGCTCAATGGCCGATATGATATATCGCAACAGACAGTACCTTGGACTTTGTTACAGGCTTCTTCGTCTCTTTATCTTGTTCTTGACGCATGTGCGTAAGCACGGCCCGGTCCAAGCCGAGCTTCAGACTCGCCTTGTGGAACATGTGCATCTCGTACGTCTTGCGCGTAATGAGGCGATAAATCTTGACCGAGTGCGTCTGTCCAATGCGGTGTGCACGTGCCTGGGCTTGAAGGTCATTCTGCGGATTCCAGTCCGAGTCGTAAATGATGACCGTGTCCGCCGCCGTGAGGTTGAGCCCAAGGCCACCTGCTTTTGTAGATAGGAGCATGATGAAGCGCTGGTACTCGGGCTTGACGAAACGATCTACGGCAGCCTGGCGCTCGTTGCCGCGAATGTTGCCGTCGAGACGCTCGTACAAGTGGCCACTGTTGCGGATGTAGTCTTCCAGGAGATCCAGGACGCGAACCATTTGGCTGAAGATGAGCACCTTGTGACCGCCCTCTTTGAGCCGTGGAAGCAATTTGTCAAGGAGAACCATCTTGCCGCAGCACTTGACGAGCATCTCGTAGCGCTGCGCCTCGGACTCGAGGCCCTCGCAAAGAGCGTCTTCGACGCCGTTGTTGAGGTACGGATGGTTGCAGCACTTGCGGAGCTCCATCATGACGTTCATCAAGTTGGGAGCGTTGCTCGGGTTGGTTCCGCGCATGAGGAACGCAGTGTTGCGCTCATAGATGGCGCGGTACCACTGCTTCTGGACCGTCGTGAGCTCGACCTCGATGATTGTTTCTTCCTTGGGCGGCAACGACTTCTCGACGTCTTCTTTCACGCGACGCAGCAAGTACGGCTTGAGAATCTTGTGCAGCTCTGCAACCTGGTTCGCGTCTTGCAGAGACCCAAACTGTCCCATAAAGTGTGCCAGCTGCGGAAACGCATCTGGGTCAAGAAAGTTCAGGAGAGCCCAAAGCTCTTCCGTCTTGTTCTGGAGCGGCGTCCCCGTGAGCAAGACGCAGTAGCTGCGCTTGAGGCTGCGCATCTGTTCGACGAGGCGACTCGACTGGTTCTTCAATCGGTGAGCCTCGTCCACGACGAGGCATTGCCACTGAATTTTCGAGAGCAGTGCAATGTCCTTGATCGCAATCTCATACGTCGTGACGAGGATCTGAAACTTGTACGGCTTCTTCTTGTCGGGCTTGCCGTGCACGAGGTGGTAAAACTCGTATTGTTGAATGATGTCCCGCGCCTCGGACGGTCCATGATACACGACGCAGTCCATCTCGGTCCACGTCTCGCACTCGCTCTGCCACTGCGCGATGAGAGAAAGCGGCGCGACGACGAGAAACGGCCCTGGGATGTGGTACTGCTGCCGCATATCGTCGAGGAACGCCAGCGTCTGGATGGTCTTGCCGAGTCCCATTTCATCGGCGAGAATACTCGGGCGCGCGTTGTGCCAGTTCCAGCGCAGCCAGTTTAGCCCCTCAAGTTGGTACTCGCGCAAGGTGAAGCGTCCGTCACTGCCGAACGTGGGTGACGTCTCGAGCTTCTTGAAGTCTCGAATAGAGGGCCGGATGGGCGCGGGCGGCGACAGTGGCAGTGTCACGCGGTGGGCGTACCGTTTCATCGCATCGTCGTCCACGATGTCACAGGCGCGCTCCCACGTGCATTCGGCGTACGAGAGCACACGCCATTTGATGAGCAATCGCTTGCCGTCGTCGGGTGCTTCGTCTGCAGCCTCCTGCCGAATGTCGAGGATACGGTGGATCTCGAGGTACTCGGGGTTGAAGTACTCGACCTCGTCATCTGGCGAGACCTCGCGCGGCCCCGCCACTTTCTCGAGGAAGCGCTTGATCTTGTACTTGTTATTTGGGTCAATCTGCAGGAGAGTTTCTTCCGTCTCCCACGACGCGTGCATGTACGAGTAGCCCTTCCACTTGATGAGAAATTGGACATGCGGCTCCGTCTTGTGCCCCATAATCTTCTCGATGGTCATAACGAGCGCTGGCGCCGACGCAGCAACGGGTACTACCGCAATAGCGTTCTTGGAAAAGTCGACTTCGGCCTCAGAGAGGTCGTCGTCCGAGTCGGGGACGTGGTACGTCGTGGTCTTCGACTTGTTGTGTCCGTCACGGTGGCTTCGCCGGCTTTTCTTCTCGTCGTTCTCACTCGTCTTGGACCGCTTGTGGCTCGAGGACGAAGATGACGATGTCCTTTTTCGGGGCGCGTCGCAGAACGCGCAGACCGAGTCGGGCGCGTCATTTACCTCGGCGCACGCCTTGCACTTCCACGTCAAAGACTTGTGGTCGTCGCCGCTCTTCTCGCGCTTGCGCTTCTTCTCCTTCTTTTCCTTCTTCTCCTTCTTCTTCTTGTCCTTTTTGGGCTGCTTGGACTTCTCGCGCGCCTTGAGAGCCATCTTGTTGGCCCGCTTCGTGTTGACCGCCGCCATCTTGCTAAAGTCGTCTTCCGGCGACTCGCAGAGCGGACAAATGTAGCTGTCGATGGCCTCGAGTTCTGTTTCGGTGAGAACGAGTCCGCAGCAGGCGGGGTGCACCCAGCTATTGCAGCCGCCCGTGCCGCGACTGCACTCGATCATGAGCCCCGCTACGAAGCCAGCATGAGTGGCGGGCCACACACGGAGAAGAGTCTCCACGACAAGAAGCACACGTACCGCTGTCCACCTGCTGGCATACGCAGTACTGGATCGGCGCCTCCGACATGGGTCCGACCACACGCTAAACCCGGAAATGTTCCGCGGCCGCCACCCGCCGATCCATGGCCATCCGGATGGCCGGATAACATTTGCCACCTGGATCGGGTGAGAGAACCAAGAACGACCTGCGCCATCCAGGCAGCTTGACTACATGTCCTCGTCCCCTTCGCAATGCATTGACCACTACTCTCCAGGCGATGCTCATGCGATTTATGCACTTTCATTGTACAACTTTGGTCATTCTATTGAAACCCTTTAATGGCGTCTAGAACATAACTTGCTTCATGGTCCAGCTGATGAAAACGACGACGATAAAGGCGATGAGCAGGTTGCGTTGTTGTTCCATCGACTGCGCCGTCGCAGTGCTCGCGCCTGGGAGTTCACGCGTCTTGGTTTCCTCGGCTACGACCGTGCGCGCCTTGCGCAGCTCGGCAATCGTCTCGGAAAGCTTGCCGTTTTCCTTGCGAAAGCGGATCCACTCTTCCTTGATCGCGTCCGTGGCTGCGTGCAGCCGTTCGGCTTCGGCCAACGCCTGCTTCGACTCGGCCGCCAGCTTGTCGTTCGCAACTGTCAACACCGCAACTTCCTTGCGCAGCGCCGCACTTGCCTGCTTCAGTTCCTTGGCTTCGACTTCCTTCTGCTTCACGTCCGCTTCAAGCGTCGCAACCTTGTTCTTGATCCCGCTTGCCGACTCCTCTGCGAGCTTGCGCAAGACCGTGGCATGATCGGCGGCCTTCTTGGCGGCAGCAGAGCGTGCTTTCTCCGCAGCGAGGTCTGCCTCAAGCCGCGCTTGGGCTGCCGTGTGCTCTGCAGCAGATGCAACTTGCGACTGCTTCAGCGCACGGCAGTCATCCGTGACGTTGGTGAGTTCCACCTTGAGCGACACAACCTCTGACGTCGAAGACGCAGCGACCGACTCCAAACGGACAAGCTCGGCAGTACTCAACGAGGCGGCTTCGACAAGACTCGCCTTCTCTTCTTTGAGGACCTACAGTAGCGATGAGAATTTGTCGCAGTCATAACGCAATACCGTGATAGAATGTTCGAGCGCCGTTTTGTCTGCCACGATGGCCGTGTGGGTGGATTCAAGGGCCTCGAGCTTCGTAGCGAGCACCTTGGACGCCGCTTGCGTCTCGCACAGCAGCTTTTCGTTGCTTTCAGCGACCGACCGTTCCGTCGTGCGCATCTCCAGCAAGTTGACGACTTCGGCCTTGGCATTGTCGAGATCCACGAGGAGTTGATGCTTGTCCGACATCAACGTCTCGGTAGTCGCCTTCAACTGCTCGAGGTCCGTCTTCTGGGCCTGAAAGTCGGCCGCAAGAGAGGCCAAAAGGCTTTGGCTTGTCTCACCTTCAGCCCGCAGCTTCACAATGACATCGCTTGATTCCTTTTCAGTTGCGAGCGCCGAGGACAGAGCAGCACGCAGCGTATCAACTTCCGTCATCGAGCTCTTGAGCTTTGCGATGATGTCGGCTTTGGCGTCCACAACTTTGCGCAGCTCTTCTTGGGCACGCAAGTGAGCGCACTTCTCATCTTCAAGGTCCTTGGCCCAGCGTTTCATTTCGCGGTCGAGCTCTTGATTCGCTTGCTACGATAAGTAAACATTGATGTGGCAACATAGACGTCGAGTACAATACCGTAAGCAGGCTATCAGTCTGACTGAGTTGGCGTCGAACCACTGCAAGCTCTTCTGTGGCCTTGTTGCCCGCTGCAAGGCGCTCCTGCAGCGACATCTCGAGAGTCTCGAGCTGTCTCTTGAGATCTGCCTCCGAGGCCTTGAGAAGGAAAAAGCCCTGCGACTCCTTCTCAAGCTCTGCGCGGCTCGCGGCGAGTGAGTCCTCAAGAGCTTGGATGGCAAATGCGTGGTCGTCAGCCGCCGTCTTCAAGCTCTTCTCGAGGTCTTGTCGTTCTTGCGTCACCTTCTTGAGATCGTTCTGGAAGCGCTTGTGAAAGTTGTTGGCCGTCTCCAGCTCGATCGCATAGCGTTGCGACTCGCGCGAAAGCTCATCCTGGACGCTCTTGTACGACGTCTCGAGAGAGACAAGCTTGGCAGAAACAACTTCGAGCTCTGCCGCGAGGCGCTGACTATGGTCGTCGTTGTTGGCCGAGGATGCGCCTTCTTTTGCGCTGGTGAGCTCGGCCAAAGTAGCTTCAAGATCTTGTGTGTTCTTGTGCAGTGCGGCGACGGCGGTGGCGTGGGCCTCCTTCGCCTCCTTCAAAGACGCCTGAAGCTTCTTCTTTTCATCTTCCAAAGCGGTAGTGTGCGCGAGGTGCGACTTCTTCGCAGCTTCAAGCGACGCTTCCAGCTTTTTCTTCTCATCGTTCAATACAGCTACAGCAGCGTCGAGGTGGCCGCTAGACTCGGCCTGGTTGTCATCCGTTCCGACGGAGGGCACTGTTGCAGAGGATTCCTTCGATTCTACCGGCAGCTCGTCAGCTACGAGCTGGTTCTCAGCGGCCTTCTCTTGGGCTTCCTTGACGAGGCGGCGCAAGGTCACGAGAGTCTTGACGTGACGAGCAACTTCGGCCATCTTGGACTTGTCCGCGCGAAGCTCGCGAATCGTGTCGGCCGTCGAGTCGATCATCGAGTTGAGCTTGTCAATTGACGCATGCTCGTAGTCCGTCGGTCCGTGCGCCATGGTGGAGGAAGAATCGCAAAATGGGCCTTCTTGCGCCAACCTTTTGCATGCTTTCGAAAGTTCCGTTGATGTATCCGGCTTATCCGGATATGTGGTATTGTATTTATTTGTCACCCAATGCGAAATCTACTCATGGTTTGTATGTGTGCGGTGTCGTTCTACGTCGTTTTTTTAAATAATAGTGGCGCCAGCCGCTGACACTCTCTCCTACCATGCGTTCTACTATCGAGGTTTGGGTCAGATATGCACCTGCGTATGCAATTTGGGTGCGTTTTCTTTGAAATCACGCACATTTATCACTCACGCACCGAGTGAGCTCGCGGGAATTCCGGAGACACACATGTCGCAGGCCACTCACACAAGCCGCACTGCCAAGCCGCGCAGCCGTTCAGTATTTTGCATTTTGCCGACTTGCACTTCACAAGACGATGGCCTCATCGAAGCGCATCCTTATCACGGGTGCCAGCCGCGGCATTGGTCTCGAGCTGACCAAGCACTACAAGGCCAAGGGATGGCTCGTCATCGCGGCCGTACGCAACCCCGCGACAGCAATCGAGGTAGCGAACTATCACGATACACACCACGTAAGAGCCCCCGAAATGTCTAGCTGCACAAGCTTGGTCTCGAGCGCATTGTCGCCATGGACGTCGTCGACGAATTGTCTATTGACGCAGCGGTGGCAACGATTGGTTCCGACACGCCCATCGATCTCCTTCTCAACAACGCGGGAATTCTCCTCGGGCGATCCTTGACAGACGCGACGAAGGAAGATCTCATGCGCCAACTTGAAGTCAACACGGTCGGTCCGTTTCTCGTCACGAAGGCATTTCTGCCCAACTTGAACGCTGCCGTGAAGATGCAGGGACACGCAATTGCCGCCTATATCACGTCCAAAATGGGAAGCATCGAATGCAACGTCGCCGGGAGCTGTTTCGGGTACCGAGCGTCGAAGACAGGCCTTAATAGCCTCATCAAGTCCCTCGCGATCGACCTCGGGCCCAAGGGTATCTCAACGCTGCTGCTACATCCCGGTTATGTCCAAACTGACATGAATGACATGCGCGGCGAGCTGACAGTAGCCGAGAGCATTGCCGGTATGACGGCTGTCCTTGATGCTGCAAAACTTGGTGACAATGCCAAGTACTACGACATCGATGGTAGTATTTTGCCGTGGTAAGAATCCCCGGGTACGTGAGAACACATTGCATGGAAAGCCACCCACTATTAATAGTAAAGCGTACCTTCCTTGTGATACAGTAGATTTTTTACAAGAATAGGAGCTTCTGTCCATTTAGTTCGACAGCGATGCATGATACGAAAGCAGCCCGGGTTATTTTGGGACGCATCTCTCTGTGCCCCAGTGAACTCCAGCGAGTTCCAATTTCAGTGAAGAAGCTCAAGTGCAACGACACAAGTCAATTTTCATCTCAAGACACATGGCCAAGCGTGTTCTCATCACGGGTGCGAGCCGTGGTATTGGCCTCGAGCTGGTCAAACACTACAAGGCTTTGGGCTGGAACGTTGTTGCCGCAGTACGCAACCCGTCCTCGGCCACAGAGGTGCGCTATCTACTTTGTCCATCACTGTAACAGCAACCTCATGAACGCACTAGCTTCGGAGCCTAGGACCTGAGGGCATTGTGGCCCTCGACGTCGCTGACGAAGCGTCAGTTGCAACCGCCGCGACAGCCATTGGCGCTGATGCCCCGATCGACATGCTCATCAACAATGCCGGTATCATCGTCAAGAGCTCGCTTACGAAGACGACGAAGGCAGATTTCTTGCGCCAGTTGGAAGTCAACGCCGTGGGTCCGTTCCTAGTCACAAAGGCGTTCATGCCCAACCTCAAGCTTGCGGCCAAGCAAAACGACTATGCGATTGCCGCATTCCTCTCGGCCAAGATTGCCAGCATTGAGCTTAATACGCAAGGTGGATACCACGCATATCGCGCGTCAAAGACAGCTCTCAACGGTATCGCAAAGACGCTGGCAGTCGACATGGCACCGCGTGGCATCTCGACTGTACTCCTGCACCCGGGCTACGTCAAGACTGACTTCACGGGTCACAAAGGTGACTTAACGGCCGAGGAAAGTGCGCGCGCACTCGCATCGATCTTAGACAACGTGCGCAAGGGCGACAAAGCTGCGTTTTACGATATTGACGGCACTATTCTGCCGTGGTGAATCGGTCTTGCGCGCAATCTCCTCGACGTGATGCAAATATTACGGCGAATGCACCATAAATGTTGCAATCTAAAATTTTATGGACACGGCGCGAGAGAAAAGAGAAGGAAGGAAACAGGTGCAGCCACTGGGAAACCGGGCATTCGTTGAGTGTTTAAGCTGGTACACACCAGCACTGCGCTCTCGTGGCTGGTAGCACGACAAGGGCCTTATCCATAAATTAAACTTAAAATTTGTATGAACCAAGTAATTGCAACCCGACAAACTCTAGACCTACCCCTCTGAGCCTTTTTTTACCAATCAAATAGCTAAGAAATGATATACTCAATATGACTGGCGGAGACTTCCGGTTGCTGCACATTCATTGGACGCGACTTCTAATTTCCTGGCGAGAGTCTCCTGTGCCTCAGAGCCACAGAGAGATGGAAGAGCGCACGCGCAAGGTCCGAGCGCGAGTCCGAGCGGATCGACCGGGCCCGAAGACTCGGGTCGTAGCACCGAATGGAGTTCCGGTCTGCATCCTCTGCGGGATCCGCCGGCAGCACACGGTGTACTGCCCGTACGCCCCGCGCGATCGCCGTCGTCTCGCATCCAAGTCGCACCTCTTTCGGCGGCATCCGCGACGCCTTGACAACGATGCGAACGGCGCGCAAGGGCTTTTCATCCACTGTCAGCTCCCAACCGGCTGCGCTTGATACTGCTGCTGTACAGCGCGCTCAGCGTCCACCAGACCAAGGCTCTGTGGATCTGGGTCTCTGCGATGTGGCTCACATGCAGTCAAGTCAACTCATCGACGTTGAAGTAAACCGCGCGACTACTTGCAACACACAAGTACTTCCCCCGACGACTCGGTGCAAGAAGCGCAAGCGCGATGACAAGAACATGCCCCGGCGTCAAGTCACCCTCAACAACTCGACAAGTTGGCCGCCACGTGCGAAGTCGGCCTCTACACGTGGTACCGATTGGACCGAGCGTGCAAGAAGGCATGCGACGGGATGTGTCCTCTTCTTGTCGTCGCGAAGGTAGGCAAGCAAGCATACCCGCCGTGTGCGAGATGATGTGGTTGGATCTATCCCGCAGATCGAGATGCACAACGCCTGCAAAGCACATTGTAAGCTACCATAGTCATATATCGTATTCATCAGTCAATATATAAAGCTTTGCACAATCATCATGCAAGATTCGAGCACAGGTTTGGTCGGAACTGATGACTGCGACGCGCTGAGCACGTGAGCAAGAGCCGCGGCGCGCTTCCCGGCTGGACACGTTGCCTGCGTCATGCGTCACACTATTAAGGTTCCACCAATAGCAAGCAGCGATTTATGGCCCATATATGTCCCTCTCGCCCAATCAGATGATGCGACTTCTGTTTGGATGCAACACGTATGGAAGGTTCGCCAATATTACTTGGACCAAGCTTTGCGATAACATAACGGGATGTGCTTCATGTATATGTTGTGGCTAGTAACGTGCAGTTATAGTGAAGGTGGTGGACTTTCCAGTGCGAT